CTTCTATACGCTGAATGCCATGTTACAGAAATCTGTAAAAAATCGAATTTGCGACCACGCGCGGTAATTCGCAATAGCGGCGATAGATGGTGAAAATTCGGGGTCCCAACTAAATCCCAAACAAGCGTTACCGTCTGAATGCATGGGCGGTGTATATCTAGGGGAGTCGTTAATCTATGCTAAAAGGAATCCTAAGTGCTGATGAATACAAATTTTCCCATGTTCGTCTGAGGCCTTGTCTATTTGATATTTCATCATAGGTTTCTTGAAAAAAAAAATCGATCGATGACGTCACAGTGTCACCATATTAATTTTGGACAAAATGTCTCCTGGAAACGCCGATTTGTGATATATCCTTGAAGACATTTTTTGTCCCAGATCTTTTCATACGGCCTATAATAAGCAGTTGAGTCAAATTCAACTTCTGTCAAACTACCCCTGGAAAACCACCCCCAAGCTTCAATTTTCCAAATTATACCCAATACTTTGTTTTGTTGATTTATAAAGTGCAATCAATTCCAACTTCAACAATGTATCACATTTGATAATTTGACTGATTTCCAATTGACAGAATACTCATTTGGAGTAAACGTAAAAGGCATTGTCTTAGTTGGATTAACCTAAAAACTGACTAACAGAAGCGTGCACGAACAACTGTCAACAAATTCATGACAAAAGAAATAATCTAAACCTGATACTGTTTCCTTTGAATTTTGTGATTTTGGGAGTAAACATATTTCAAAATATCAAGTGAGAATTGATTGCACTTCAAAAACCAAGAAAAAAAATGTAAATGGTGAAATTGAAGTTGGGGATGGTTTTTCAAGGATAGTTTGACAAAAGTTAACTTTGACACAACGAGTTAAGGCATATGGGTTTGACAAAAGTGTAATTTTTCAATTTTTTTTTCAATCAGCGTAACTGATATATTGGCTCTATGAAAAGATCTGGGACACCCGGTATACAGGGATCCATTTGAAATTATTGACCTACGTCAATTTCCGGTGAAACCTTAGGTGATATTCAATTGTTTTTTCATAGGACATATGGGTGTCCTACCTTCGTTTTCGAGATACAGGGTATCAATATTTTCATGAAAAATCGTTTTTTTTATTCATTACTCAATTGTCTTTTCATCAATTTCAATAAAACGTTGTGGTATGGAGGTTTTGTTAATAATAATATGAAGCTTCTTCTAGTGGCGTCACAGTGAGTAAATTTGTCGATATTTATGGTGAATGTCATTGTACGGAGTTTCATATTTTTATTAGATTGAACTATTGAAATGACAACTTTTTTATCCTCTGTATGATTTTAGTATGAGGCTAAGTTTTTGAGGAAACTATAAAAATTCGATTTGACTCCAAATTTTGATGTAGGTGTTTTCAAGACTTCCATTGAGATAACTCTATAACCCCAATTACAATCATTTTGAAATTTTAGGGCTTCCTCAGTCTCTAAACATACTGCATTTTGGCACCGTGAGAGCTTATACAGATGGGTTATAAATAACAACAATTGATACTTCAATCTTCAACATCCTATATCTCGAAAACGGAGCAAAAGTTAGGACACATGTTTGCATGAACTTTATTTGTTAGAATAGCACAAGGAATCAGCCCTTGAATTTTTTCGGTGTTTTATAGATATTTTTCCATCGAAAATATGAGTTTTATGGAACAATACTATCAATACGAATTTCAAAATTCTAAGTTAAAAAACGATATGAATGACTCTAATGTCCAATGGTCTCGTTGTCATCCGGTATATCTATTGATATTCAGTCTGAGGAAAATCTCGACAAAAACTGTCCTTCATATGGCGGCTCACGAGGGCTCCTCAAGAATGTTAATTTTCTGGCAATGTATCCGCATAGTTATTTATCGGTTTTTGGCGTTAACTTTTCAATGATTCCAAATCTGGCGTTTTCAGGGTGAGTCAAAGCAATATTTGAACTTGATTTGCGATGTGTCGGAATTCTATCGTTTTTCACATTGTTCAAGCATTTTCGATTTCGGAAATAATGTTACAATGTCAGAAATCTAGCGCACATTTGTTGAAGTACATTTTTGATAATGTGAATCTGTGATCAATGTATATTGTATAGCCCTACGGCGGAGGCAACTAATTAGAGAGTTGAAGTGTTGTCATGAACGTTAACGTAAACGTAGAAATTGACAGCTACGCATGCGCATTTTCCAATTCTTCACGTTTGCGTTGTTAGTGGGCTTACGGGTGTACGTTATCTCACTTTCCTTCACGTATACCTTAAATATCAACGTACGTTAACCAAACTATACTCGAAATATGCCGATGAGTCAAAATTATCAAATTCGAGATCACCAACGAGTTCTGCATCGAGGAGTCCTCTAATTTTGACAGGAATAAATGTTCGAATCTAAACACACAACAAAAAATGATCAATACAAACCGAAAACAAAATGTATTATTACGTTATGATGACAATGACGACCAAAGTGGCGACTTCAACCAGGGCCTACTCTATCTCACCGGGCCGGAGCATCGCTTTCGTGACGTCACACTAGTAGGGACAAAATCAACGCAGTGGAAATTGTCTCTCCCGTTTCATTGATTTATCTCGGGAAAACGGTCACAGTTAGCGAAAAATATCAAGAGGTCAAATATGTACAGAAAAGAATTCTCCAGAAGATGAATCAAATTTCACTGATTTACGATCATTATTTTCAGAAATATGGCATATCAAAACTAATTGACGCCATTCAGAATTGTCCTTTTTCAAACAGCTACCAAAATTCCAATATTCAATTCACAGAAATAATTCAATCATGAAAAGATTTCGCATAGTATCTAGATTGACTGAGTTTTTTTCCGAAATTCCCAAAGGCCAACAAGAAACCGATATTTCAATTCAAGTAGAACGATGATTCAGGTGTTCATTACAGAATAGTTCAAAAAGTTCGGACGCCTCCCATGCTAATCCTATCAACTATGGATATATGCTGTCACTGACTTTTTTGTAGGAAATTTGATTGCCTACAAATCGGTATGATACACATCCACTTTATCTCGAAGGGTTTTAGCAGCGTTTATCTCTAAAGATGATGAGGACGCACTTTGATGACGTTAGAAATCCTATTACTCGAGTGTGTTATTATTACACAAAAACGCCTATTCGGTAACAATTATTTTCTGCTGAAGAGTATATATTCGAATGATAACGTTAAATTCGTGAAAAAAATTTGATTTGAATATATTTGATATATTTGCAAACTATCAGAATTAAAAAGAACAAAATATGTGGAGTTCATATGAACACAACCTAACAAAAATAATTGAAAAAATATGTATCTCAACAATGAGAGATATAAAAATGAATATAACGAACTGAATAACAAAATACCCAGAACAACGATATATGAATGAATAAGGAAAAAATGAAAAAAAAATGTTGAATCTTTATACACATACACAACCAAACAAAATAAACTGTAAAAATGATCAACATAACAAAATAAAAAAATTGATAGATATCACAAAATGAAATACACTAATAACAAAAAATATATATACATCATCTCAATCACAAACTAAAATTTTAAAACTGAACTATATATCTCATCCTGAAAGTTTAGTGATTTTTCTTTTTTAATTTTTTTTTATTTTGCAATAATTGTTCAACAGAATATTTGAAATGGTTTTAGAGAATGTTCTGCTGATTAAATCAAAAGACCCACAACTGCAACATTGATTCTCGGAATAATTGAGAAGGGAATTGATTTCAATTTCTGCTAAATTCTCCAAAACTTTATGTTGTGACTTACATTGTAGAAATATTGTTTCGAATTTTTCAGGCACCAATATTAGTTGGTCTGAACCATACGCCATTCAGAAATAAAATGAGTAATAAGAAGTATATCGCCCTTTACCAGTCCAAGGAATTACCGCGAAATTGTAATACAGCGAAATTTGAGTAGGTAGGTATAACGGCCCATTTTTTACTCGCTCTTTATATTTAATTTCTTTCGGACTCATTGTAGGTAACTCTACAATTTTTTCACTATTCAATTGATTCATTATCGTAGTTTGATATATTGAGTTAGTTTCATCTTATTCCAATTCCAAATTTGCAAAAAATAGTATTCTGTAGTACAACGTTCTGATTTTCAATAAAATGGAATTTCGTTACAACGCCATAACTCGGTATTGATTCATCCTATTGGATTCATTTTTTCACCAAAAGTTGAGGAATTTGTTGGGGATCATTTCGTCTCGATTGAGTGTGCTTCTAAAATCTATAGTAAATGAGCTATATCCTATCAATTACGAACGCATCAGTACGGACTGATGTGAAATCTCAACCTACTAGTGTGACGTCAGCGTCGAGAGAGAGGGGATAGACTACGGCCCGGTAAGATAGAGTAGGTCCTGCTTCAACTCAATTTAACGACAATACGTAAACGTTATTTTTCGTACGTTAACGTCTACGTGGAGGTCTACCTACAGTGATTACTTCAACTCTCTATTATTAATTGCGTACTATACCCAATGAACTCAATATAAACACCTGAAAGGGAGACTGCCGGTTTCTCGAATAGCACAGAGTGTGTCAGGGGCAGCTGCATCAAAGATAGCTTGTGTTACGGTAACCTGTCTCTCTCACACTCGTGTTGTTTAATGGCGGATTGGTGTATACATTTTCTTTTATGCAAAGTTTTATTATCATTGATAATTCTAATGAATATAGAGTGAATAATGAATATAAAAAAATTTGATGCTGAAAATGGACGTCCTTTAAACGTTTGCTCTGTACGTCCCGAAGACGTACGGGATGGTACGTTCATATTAGGTTCCGGGACGAACGGACTCAAATCGGACGTAATATGTACATACGTCCTCGGAACGTCGTGTGCTGTCTGGGAGAGGAGTCGTTATGTTAATTTTATGACATTGTGCTACTTGGGTTGACGGAAACTTACCTGCAGATGGCTCACGAGGGAGGTCGCCTACTTGACCGCTCCTCACGAGTGCGCGTTGGCCTGCGTGTGGTTGTGGTCCTGCGCAGTGGCCGGCGCAGCGGACGCCGGCTTCTCCTCCACGGAGGGGGAGGGGGGAGCGTCCTTGCGCGGCGGCATGCGCTCGTTGACGGCGTCGAGTCCCTTGGCCTCGGCGAAGCTGGTGATCTTGTGGTTGGGGGAGAAGCCTTGCAGCGCTGAGGAGGAGTGACAAGGAAGATTTTCAATGTAGTTAGTCGATTGGAATTATAATTTACTAATTATATGTTTTTTGTTCGTTTTTGTACATTTACGCAAAACACAAAGCTTGAACTATTTTTTAGAAGAAAAAGTGGTTGTTTATTGCAATATATTTATTTTCCGTCGACCTCGTATTAACTAGTAAGTTTAAAGTTCATGAAATAATCGTTCATTAATGACCCCTATTAATGATCAATTTGTCTATTATTGCACGATTGTTTTATAGGCAACCAAACAAACACCACGTGCATTCATTGTTTATGCTATAACTTACGAAATCTGCATTTAAATCGAAAATATGGATTTCATCGAAGATTTTACGTTAACGGGTTCGCCTTTCCCAAGTTTCTGAAACGATTTTGACGGGAAAATTTTGTAACCATCTCGTATATTAAAAGGCGATTAATGATCTCGAACATTAACGTTAACATTAAAATATCTCGATCATTAATCACCCTCATTAATACACTAGTTGGTTAAATAACTATATTGCTCCCATCTGTCATTTTACTACGAATGATTGCAGCATACTACGCGATACTACACTCACCAGCAAAATAAACCGGTCACTAAAAAATCTGCCCAAATTGTTCATCCTGTAACTTTTTAACTCCTTGTCCGATTTTCGTGAAATTTCGATCAAATCGTAAATTCATGTTCCGGAATGTTAGCCTGAATATTAGTTTTCCTGAAAAGCTGATGACTTGATCATTATACGGGGAAAACCCAAAGTTACTCTTTCACCCTATGATTCTCAACGCCCTGTGGCGAAATTGCGTGATTGAACATGGATATTCGGATTGAAGTGTGATCCCTTCTTGACACAAAAGTTTTTGATTCACGTCAATATCTTATTTTTAAGAGAAGATACGAGTGTTTTAAGGAAGTATGGCGTTTTTCAACTTTTTTTAGCAATAATCAGAACTTTTATGAACTTCAAGGATTAATATCACATATTTTTACCTCACTTTCTCAGCACTTACCGGAAAATTGATTACAAAAAACGAACAATAAGCAGACCTGTAGTCAGTGGCATCGAATTGATCAAATTACTCAAGTAGCCTTGAAGAATTGCCTAAAATCCTCCTTGAAGTGCGAATCGTAGCTCTTGAAGAGTATCTGACACGGCTGGGCCAAGGCGAATGAGCCTCTATAGAGGTCACCTCTAAGATAGGTATATAGGTTCTGAATTATTGTTATTGAGAATTAAAAAAATGTATACTTTCTTGAAACACTTGTATTTTCTCTCAAAAAGGAGATATATTGACGTTATTCAAGAACCGTTGTATGAAAGAAGGAACAAAAGAGGATCACACTTCAATTTGAAACATGATGAAACAGAAGGTTGGAGAATGGTTCTAAATTATTGTAAATAAAAATTTTAAAAATTCATACTCTCTTGAAACACTTGAATCTTCCTTTGAAAAGTGGTTATCGACGAGAATAAAAAACGATCATGTAGAGAAAATATCACTCTTCAATCTAAAACATAATGAAGCTACAGGGCGTTAAGAAGTTAGGGGTGAAAAGTAACTTCCGTTTTTTCCTGTATAATGATGGAGTCATCAGATTTTCTTAGGAACTAATATTCAGGATAACATTTGGAAACATGAATCTACGATTTTGGTCGGAATTTCACCAAAATCGGACCAGAATTGAAAACGTTACAGAGCAAACAATTCAGCTAAATCATTTGGTGGCCAGTTTGTTTTGCCAGTATGTATTTATCACGGAATGATCAATATAAAATAGCTATGTGGTGTGGCGTAAATTCGGCTAGTGCGTACAACCCACATATGAGTTCTGTGGTACAACCCCATTTCGATGAGTCGACCGGTAGCGGCTGTGCTCACGTAATTCGTCAATACATGTTTCTTATCAGAAAAGAACAGTCGGATTTCGATAGATTACTCATCAATAGTGTGATATAGATTCAAGAAACAGCAACATAAGAAATAATTATTGAAATACATTTCCAAAAAATCTAATACTGTAAGTACTATCTATTTTATACTTATTTTTATTTCGGCCTCGAGTTTGGCTATCCATGAAAGCGTGTTTCATTATAGTTTTTCAAAGTACTATCACAAATTTTTTCCGCCATATTAGCTCCGCCATCTTTAATTCCCTAATTTAGACGAAGGAATCATAATCTCCGATCACGAAAATCCTAAGATACCAATTTTGAATTGAATCGGGTCATGATTACAGAACTCGTTCGCCATATTGGATCCGCCATCTTGAATTCCCCAATTTTGATAACAGAATCATAATCTCCGACGGCCAAACCGTTTCGGAGGAGATTGGTGACAAAACCGTTACAATGACAGGTTGTGTTTATATATTAGATGTTCATATGTAGTCGTTACGTTATGCATACATACATCCATCAAAGAATTTAAGGCGTGATCCAATGATTGTCAGGTTTAAAATCATGTCATGATGGTTAGAAGGTTAGCAATTTACTCATGAGTTTATCAGGTTGATATTAAAATTGTTCGAAATGCGCCGATCATTCGAAATTCCAAAATTCTTGGATACAAATTGAAAGTGAGTGCGTATCACGTTGAGTTCCTGAATATGAAAATATCATGACATCCATGACAACCTGCTGCTGGTAAGTTATTTTTTTTTATTTCTGTTCAAACTACCAATAAGGAAGTGAAATACAAGATCAAAAACACAGCATACTTTTAATGAGTATCCAGTGTCCCATCAACTGCCGAAATACAAAACTGAAAAGATAATATTTTCGATGATCAACAAAGATATTTCAACCAAATAAAAACGTATATCTTGAAACGAGTGCAATAATCAGATAAATTTCATTTTAGAGTAGGTACCCCAATGTATTTGACAATTTTTTTTCGACGATCATGGATGTTTCAAATAGGTACACTCTGATAAGCATTGACAGTCAGACATAAACACAAATGAATAGATGAAAAAAGTCGGAACTGATAATACATGAACCTCGACATGAACGTACATGATGGTATCAATTTCGAACGTTTGAAAACATATTAGGAATATGAGATTAAAGTTTGTGGTGTTGCTAGGCTAACTGGTGAAAATAGTGAGTATCGATTTACTTTATTCGAATTTTCATCAAAAGAACAAGCACTCTCACAAAAATGAAAAGAAAACATGAAGAGGATGGCGTGGAATATAGGTTCAGCTAACGAAATTTCCGAGGTATTCAAAATTGTAAATATGTTTTAGAATATACTATTTATCGTATTTCTGAAAAGTGCAAGAAGATGCAGTAATGAAAAACAGTTTGATGATATTGAGAAAAGAAGCCGAACCTACAATTCAAAAAAAGAACGAATATCGAGAAGAAACCTATTCAAAACGAAAATGGAACGGGAAACTTGCAATTAATAATCGAAGATTCAGAGTAGGAATAGTGGAGAATTTAGGAAACGAATAGAGAATTGGATAATAAAATGAAACATAATATACCCAGAAGTTATTTGATATCTCAAACGAAATCTATCTGTTATATCTTCAGAAAATTGCAAGAAGAATAGATAAGAGCTCAAAAGTTTGATCTCTGAACGAGATTATTCTCTATATTTGAATTGATTGGCAATCACGCCTGCACTTTCATTCAGAAATGAGAATACATAGGGTGTATCTGAAAAACATCGAAAAAATTCAAGGGGTGTTTTCTTGTGACATTCTAGCAAATGAAGTTCATATACACATGTGTCCTAACTTGCTCCGTTTTTGAGATACAGGATGTTGAAGTTGGAAGTATTAACTGTTTTTATTTATAATATAATGTAATCTTGATGGAATTCTTGAAAACACCCCTAATAACACACTTATGTCCCATGGATATCCTTAGGACGTCCTGTCGGCATTCAGGACGTCCATTGGACGTTCGAATTGGGTACCGTGGACGTCCATTGGAGGACTGTGGGACGCACTAATGTCCCACTTGAGGACCAACTAGGAACGTCCTTGCGGGATGTCCTGGGACGACTATCGAATACCTGAATCCCACAGTATTTCTCATCAAGCACTACAGAGGACATCCTTAGGACATCCATAGGACAACCTATCACCAACGCTGAGGGATATCAATTGAATGTCCATAGGATGTTTCTGGGACTTACGAATTATTCTTGAATTTGGATTTTTCTGGGTCCCTCCAGGGCCAGATCTTGCATAACTGATTAGGACATCCAGTTGAGTTGATGGTCCGTAGAAGGTCCCCAAAAAGTTTCCCAATGATGTCCAATGGACTTACGTGAAGGATATTGACGAGGAGTACTTATAGCCTACGAGCATCATTCGTCGGCGAGGTGTAAGTAAACGTCCTCGCAGGGACAACATATTGAAAGTACGGACTGGGACGTCCATGGGACATTATTTCTAGGACATTGGAAGAGTACAGTTCATGTACCAATTGGGACATTCGACGGATATCCCTAAGGGACATTTCGATTGTCATACAATCCTGGAAATATTGAGGGCGTCTGTGCAGAGACATTTGAAGGAATGTACCATCAGCGACATTTCATGGTTGGAAGGGACATTATATAAGATCTGAAGTCATGCCAGAATATGTACTACTCGGAACATCCGATGGATGTCCCTAAAGGAACGTTTAAAATCATATCCCATCAGGGACATGCCAAGGACGTCCTTGCATGGACATTCTACAATATGTACGTGGGACGTCTAAGAGATGCTATTTCTAGGACATTTGAAATGATGTACCAGCTGGGACATCCCGTGGACGTCCTTGCTCGGACATTGCATCAAATCGAATTTTTATTGTTTCCTCAAAAACTAAGCTAGATACAAAAATCACACAGAGGATAAATTAAGTTGTTATTTCAATAGTTCAATCAAATAAAAATATAACTCCGAAAAACCGGTGGTGTACAATGACATTCACCATGAATATCGATAAATTTAACCACTGTGACGCTACTGGAAATATTATTTCTAATCAAATTGCACTACAAGAAGCTCCATATTACTATTGACAAAGCCACAACGTTTTATTGAAATTGATGAAAAGACAATTGAGAAATGAATGGAAAAATATTTTTCACGGAAATATTAATTCCCTGTATCTCGAATACGAATTGAATTTTTTTTATGTCATACTGTTGCTGCTTGTCGAGTGTTCGTATACTCTAAATATTCAAAACCGTCAAAACAATGGAGAACTCTAGTTTTCCTTTCTTATGAATTGACTCATCTAAGCTTCATTTTCGTTTTCCACTTACCATTTTTGAGACCCGTTTTTCCTCCAGATAAAGCACCCATAGGCAATGCTCCCGTTGGGGTGAGTCCTTTGAGTTGTAAGACAGACTCGCTTTCCTCTCTGAAATTTAAACAAAATAATTATATTATGTTTTTGAACCAATTTCACATTCATTCAGTGCCGTATACATCGGGAGTAGATTTTCACAAATAAAAATGATGAATTCCATTATTAGTTTTTTTCATTGGTAGGTACCTTTTCTCCATTTCCTTGTAACGTCTAATGTAATATCACTAACAAATGTTTCAAAATAATTAATTTGTCGACCTCGTATTAACGGGTAAGTTTGATGTATATGCATGTTTATTAATGCATGATTGTTGTATAGGCAACAAAACATACACCGCTGTTGGCTCTATAACTTATGGAATCTGCATTCAAATCGAATACATGGATTTCATCGAAGATTTTACGTTAACGGGTAAGCCTTTCAAAGTTTCTGATTCCATTATTCCAGATTTGGGATTTGCTCTCATCGTTTCTATAAAATGAGAATATGATTTTCAATATACGGGTAGTAAGGACAAATCAGATGATTTGCCCCAAAATGAAACTGTGTTTAAAAAATTTTCCTATTAGAGAGCCTGAAAGAAAAATTCACCAGCTTGTCAGTGACAATTTGTATTGAGAAAGGTTGAGAGATGAGAAATAAAGGTATATAGAGAAAAAGTTCAAATTTTCACGAAGCTTTGGACGTTTCGGGAACAACTCTGCTCCCGTTTTCAACATGAAAATGGATATTTGTATAGCAAATTTGTATTCGTCCTGACACTTCTCATTTCTCAGTGATAATTGGTGACGTTGGCAATCAAACGAGTTACAGGATGTTTTCATTAATGATTAATCTTGAATTTACCATTTTCATTTACTGATTTCAGTAGTGAATTCCATGTTCTTTGTGGCATTAGCCAGGAGAGTGGTTGTTTTTCTCCCGTCATTTACCATTGTTATTCATTTTATGAACATTCGTGATATCAAAGAGTAGCGTCTGGGAAGTATACTTGTTTTAGATACCGGTATCGTGGACACGTCAGCGGGGTGGTGACAAATACATTATATAAGTGTTTGGGGAATGTTAATGTCAATGAGATTATTAGTCATTCTATTGGCACCGTTGCTAGTTATCACTTCTTCGTTCGAATCAAATATAATCAGGGCGGCAAGTGCAAATTCTTTCTCCATCCTACCAGAGTTACTACGACTCGTGGCGTAGTTGACTGTGCGTTTGAATCCGATCCGGGTTCAATGCCAGCGAATGTCTGCTTTTTTTTCAAATTCTGTTTTGTCAAGTGATAATAATTTTGAGGAAAAAGTTCATTAAGAACGATTATGGTTTGAAAAGACTCTTTTCACTTCCATGTGAATTCATGAAAATGCAATTTTCGTCTTTTTGGGTTATCCCAGCAGTTCAGGACCATTGTGTCCAGATCCAGAAGTTGTAGTATTTCTCCTGATAGTTCCGAGGATGAAATATTGTTTATGTTGGGGAGTAGTCGAGATTGGTTGAAAATTCTCAACAAGCTATATACAAAACATTGCATTAAATAATGATGGTATGGATAGAGTCAATAATGAGAATTCTCTGTTGGTACTCAAGTGTCCTGAATAATTGCACTAATTTCTTGAAATTCATGATGGAAAAAAAAAAGAGTACCTACCTATCATTCGAACTTTCTTCAATTCCTGCAGCTATTCTTCCATGTCATATTCTAGCCTGATTTCGCGATTAATTCATCCATATTTTTTCTTAGGCAAATGGCAAGCAAACAGCTTTCAAATCCAATATTTTGTATTTAGTTTTTTGGGGTTAAGCTGTCGCTGTCATTTCGGAAGCCACCAAAAAGCGTTCACCATCTCTGTACATCGGCAACATGGTTGGCAATTTTGGTTGACACGATAGTACTAAATCAACGCGTGGTTATATCAAACTGGAATCCAGCAGAGAATATGAATGAACGAATTTGGTGGGTGAATGGAGCCATCGATGAATTATAAAGAAAATCATGCGTGTTTCAAAGACCTTAATATCCACGTATGCTTTAATTCGCGAAAAAATAAGCGTACGCCACCTATCGGAGTTCTGTTTTCTTTGATTTCATTGGTTCACAGTTGTTTTTTGTCAATGCTTATTGGTCACATCATCAAAACAAACCGCTCAGAAGTGTTCAAGTTGTTGTCGTCAGGTGGGGCGACGTGATATTTTCTATCGCGATTATACTATTTTGCATGAATGTTCCAATTTGGGCTATGGTGTATTGGTGTTTGTAGCTAATTGGCTGACTATGGAAACAACCGGATATCGATTATGAACTAATCCTTGTCCTGCGATTATTGCAATTATGCAGAACCTCACGGTCGAACTATGTGAAGACATTGGACAGTCGATCACTTCAACTATGGATACATATCCAGTCAACTAATCACTTCCATTGTTCATCATCAATAACGATATTGCTAGTGTTGTGGGGAATTTTCCCACTCATGTATACATTGCATTTGTATACATTTGTATATTTGATCAATTTGTCTGTACCATATTAGTTTTCATACTTTGTACATATACACCATAGTTTATTGAACACCAATTCGAAGTGTTTGGGGTTGTCCCATATAATGTTTTTTTTCTACCTCCTTATACTTCCATAATTGATAATACCCTAATTCGAACCCTCATTATCATTCTTGGTCAAGCAGGTTGAGCTTAGTTACCTTGATAGCTTAACAAACAACTCATCATATTACTTCAGTTACGGTTACTTTCGTACAGAAAGAGAGAGAAATATACTTTATTGTCTAAAAAAACAGAATTTCTCATTGACAAAGCATAGTATTCAAAATTAAATAGAAGCGTATAACATAACATAAACATATACAACGAAATTAATAATATAGAATGAATAATAAACTTATTTAGAGTGTAAGAGAACATTAAACAGTACACATTAAAAATTGAAGTGGACAATTGTCATACCAGATCAATATTATGATTATTTGAAATAGTATATGTTGAGGTCATAACAGAGTGTCATTTTGAAATTCCTCAATATTATAGTAGACTCTTTTCATAAGGGTATCTTTCACCAGTTTTCTCAGAGTTCTGAGTTCACTGGGTATATGGTTATAAATCTTTTTACTTTCAAATAACAAAGAAAATTTGTTGTCAAACTTGACTTTGGAATGGGTAGAGCAATTTTTCTCTCTGTTATTAGTCGGGTTACATGATTTGATCGTATTGAAGACTCAGCCATATAGTTTTTGTGAATCAGAGATACCGTTTCCAATATAAATAAATTTGTGAGAGTGAGAATTCCTGAGTTTGAAAACAGTGGTCTGCATGACTCTCGAACACCTACCTTGCCTAAGTACCTTATAGCTCGTTTCTGCAGTACAAACACTGAATGAAAAAGTTGTTGGCTACAATATACCCAGAAAGCTATTCCATATCTCATATGAGATTCAATCAGAGAGTGATAGACTATTTTTGCCGTAGCAATTCATTAGTGACAATTCTGAGAGCGTAACATCCGCATGCCAATTTTTTAGTTAGAGCTGACATGCTGATCAAATTTCAATTTCTCATCTAAAGATATTTCTAGGAATAAATAGCACTTCGGATTTTCATCCTTCCCATAATATACGATTCAACAACTATAGTGTTTGACATTGCCACAATTGAACATCCTAACGAAGGACTATTCAAAACACGAATCCGTTTTGCCCAAACATATGTATAGGGTGGCATAGGAGACCAATCAGAGCGATTTTGGCAGTGGCAGTAAATTCAAATCACTGTTGTTGTCAGTAAATTCGGATAAAGGATGTTTTCACATCATAGTGAATAATAGCCAATACCCTTAATTGGCGCAAAATCAAGTCTTCTGAAAATTTTCGGCCGAGAGCTTCGCTCCTGAAAAAAACATCATTCAAAAAGCGAATCACTATCGGCCTCAACAGTAAAATTTTTTTCAGGGAGGAAGAAAATTATATCTTCAGCATAAGGAAGGAGACTACTTTTTTGAACATGCTAACCTTACTTGGCCTGAATGAACCTTCTTTCTAGAAAGCATATTTTTCGGAGAAGCACTAAAAAGCCGATCGTCAAAGGAATTGAACCCGGTTCGCCGGCGTGCAATTCGAACGCACAGTCAAATACGCCATGAGTCGTAGTAACTGTGGTAAAATGAAGAAAAAATTTAGTCGCTGTACCCGCAGTTGCAGCGCTGATTATATTTGTTACTTCCTGTCTCTAGGCACTAGTATTCGGATTCGAAAAAAAAACTCAAAATACGCTAGATAAAAAAGTGATTTTCAAAAATTTACATGATTCCCTAGCAAATATCTCGAAAACTGTGGAAGATAGTAAGAAAACCTTTTTGCTGTGACGTACCATTTTTGAGGTATGAACGATAAATCAGAAAGAGGAACCTTCTACCCTGCAACTGGTTCACTGTAAGTTCGGATACTTTTGGAATTTTTTCTTCCTATCGACTCCAAACAACATCCGTAGTGTCAAAAATTCTGTCCTCTTCCATGTCCTCTACACCCTCTTATTGGGTGCTCATTGATCATAAACAGATCAGTTCGATATGTTTATAGACATATTTACTTAGTAACAGTGCAATATATGTGTGAAGGTAAATATGGAGATCTTCCAACACACAAACAAGTTGGTATATTTTTGTAGCTACGGACTACGGAGGTGTTGCAAGTTTCACCATGACTTTTTAGTTGAACGTAAATGACTTGAACAATCTAGGAATAACGGTAAGTCAAACTAGTGTCGAAAGTTTCAAGAGTTTGATTTGAATTTGAAAATGTGTTTCTTAATTGCATGTTAGAATTGAATTCGTATGAGTTTAAATGTATAGGTACGTTCTTCCGTTCATACCGTAACTATGTTGATAAGATGTTGAGTTCAAAATTAGAGATGGAAGATATTATATATGATATGATTATTAAGGAAGTTTGAGTTGAATAGTGGATTTAGAATGAAGGGGTTTCTCTATATTTTTATATATATTTTTCATTTTATCCTCCCTACTAATATTTTGAATGTGAAT